AAACTTGTCTGTGGTTCCCTGAAGCGTCACACTAGCAATTGCATTACTGTAAATCATGGTCTCTTTATCATTTCTCGATTGCCTTTCTTCTCAAGGAATCCAGTGCGGAACGGATGTATATTCAATCGAATTCCGCGAACTCATGGCACAGAGAAAGCTGATATTCATTGCTTGTTTGAATTAGTTGCTGTATCACCTGGAGGTGATCCACCGTACTACTTCTGGATCCTGCTTCTAGTTTTGGCTGTGCTGGATTATGTTTTTCTTGAACTCTGTTCATCAGTACCTTCCTGAAGATCTTATAGACGACTAGTAACAAACTTATCATCCTTTAACTCTTTTATTCCTCTCCATCTCCCGTTTTATTGGGTAAAATCATGGATGCGATGGCCCACTCGTCTGAAAGTTTTAGTTTCTTCAAACAACGTGAAAATAGGTACGGCAGAACTTTGGTCAGAGCTTCACTTCCTGATTCAACGAATTCCGTTCTAATGCCATTTTTGTCAGGAGCCCTTCTTCGCTTCGCCTTTTGTATTGCATGTCGCACTTCTTCTGGCAAGATATCTGGAATTTTGTCACCTTCATTTGTATCTTGTGATTCTTGATCACTATCTTTAGTATTGATGTCATCATCTTTTTACAGTCGTCAGTAGAAATCTTCCACTTTGTTTCGAATCTCTTGTCTCTATTGGATGATTGTCACGGCTTTTGCATTAACAGCAAAAATGTTTCGTTTCCGAGTCGTCATTCTTGGTTAAATTTCTCCATGGTTTCCTTTACGAATCTGTAACTGATTGCTTAGATGTTCTTTTATTCGTTTTTTTACAGTTTTGCGAAGTTCTATGTATTCGATCATTTATTTCTGGTCTGCTTATGTCTTTGTTTCGTTTATTAACTCTCTTGTTTGTTTGTTGTTTCTGAATCGCCCTTGTTCAAGAGACCTCGATGTTCATTTTAAAAGCTTGGCGTACGGACTGGCGAAAATAGGATATAGTAGTGTTCTTTCGACTTATAATGAATCTTACAGTCTTACCTAGCTTGATTTTATGATATCGCTATGCGACAATTGACCTTCTTTGGCGGTAAATCGTACAAACCCTTATAGTTGAGGTGGACCCATTTAATTGGGCAGAAGAAACTTATTAGTGAATTACACAGTGATAATAAGGCATGGGTTTACACGAAAGAAGACATGTTTTGAGTAATCACCAACCTCAGTCCATTATCATATAAGCAGATCTGTTAGCGTTGGTTTGTCTGAAATGTTAAAATGTCTAAATTTTGTTAATTAAAAATTATATGCTGTGTTATCCCGTTTGTGACTTGTCGAAACGGAGTGAATCATGCATATGCAACGATGGCAATGTCAGAGGCCCAATGCTTTTCGGATTTTATGAAAAAGTTAGGCATTTTAAGCAGCAGCTTTACTGTCGAACTTTGTTAATTAGTTTTTCTACCTGAACGCAGAAAACTTTTCTCTCTAGGTAGAACAGCTATTTATATTACCGTATGCTCAACGGAGTGATATACAGAAGTAATTGAAAGCGCTTGGCATGTTCTCAAACTAGATATTACAAAAATTAGCAAAACAGCAGCCGAGTGCTCTGAAAAAAATATAGAGGCAATTATTGCGCTTCATTGCATGTGCATTTATTGCTACAGTATACGCGACGTGTACCGTACATTGACATATCGTTTATAGTCACACACTGCCACTGCTCGTTACGTGCTGCTGCTTATAGATTTTTAGAAAAAACACGGCGGTGGAATATGCCGGGAAATCTGACCTTTCAGGTGTTTGGACTATGTTATGTGATGGTAGTAATTTATACCTTTGTGTATCTGTTTATTTTCAAGGCGACCAATTTAGTTTGTGCGAAAGGGTTGCGTAAATCAAATATCAAACCTTTGGTCTGTTACTGTATCTGTAACCATCGTATCTTCGCAATGAAATTTATTGAAATGATCTACATATTTAAAATGCAGTTTTAAGGAAGCACTATTAACTTCCGCTGCAGTAAGCGCCCAAAGACATGTTCAAGCCCTGTTTTGGATGAATAATTTGATAGCACACATCTGCCTGTATATGAACCAGTCTTTTTTAGGAGCTCAGTAGTTTACTTTGCACATCTTTATTTATTTTCATTTTAAGTGAAAATAAAATATTTTTGCTTTTGTAACATTCCATAGTTCAGTGTGTGAAAAATGATTTCAGATCACATGTTTAGGCTGCACCTCTCCGATTGTGCATCTTGACGAGTCGACAGATGATCCTCAGGTTCGTCGTCCGGACATTTCTCGCGCAATGAACCTTTTGGGCTGGAAACCAAAGGTAGACGTATGTAGTTTCTGTGTATATATATATAAAGGAGATTCTTTGACTTTCTTACTGTTTTATTGTCGAAATACTATTTATTTA